AAATGACATGTGATACGTGGTGAGTACATGTAATTTTCATTTGTCAATTTTAAAAAAAGCTCAGGCATAAGGCTCGGGGAGGGGATGACAGATTGGGCGTGGCAGTAGGCTCATTGGTGGGTGACCTCCAGGACAAGCGAGGTGGAGGGAGGAGCAGGATTCTGGGAAGAGGTGAACTCAGGGATGGAGTGGCCCTCAGGTTCATGATGAGTTTAAGCAAGGAATGGAGTGAGAGGGGGAAAGGGTTCAAGAGGTCTGTGTAAGAGTCAATTTAATATGTACAGTCTTGGTGATTTCGATATCTACATAGGCATTTCAATCCCTTGATCTCTTCCTACCTTGATCTGCTCTCGCCCTTCTCCCTGTCACAGCTCTTTCCTTCTGCGGTCACGTCCTAAGACCCTGTTGACACCTATAACCACCACCTCTCCAGATTTTCCATTTCACTTATCCAGCTCTCCAACTGCCAGCTCACTCCTTTTAGTATCCTAGCAATCCTTTGACCCTTACTGAAGCCTGTAAGTCAAACATTCCACTGTACCCTCACTCATTTTCACCAAATCCTAACTCTGTCCTTATCACCCTCCTCCCCCAGCCTCAAACCGGTGTTCAAACATCATCATTTCTCCCTTGAATCCACACACAACTGCTGTGTCCCCCACCATTCTCTTGTACTCACGTGGCAAGCTCCATCCCCGATGTAATCTCATGCTCTACCTACCCTGGGTGAGCAGCAGTGCGACTGAACATGACTAGAGAAAACCACGCACACACACATAGCAGCTTCATTTTAAAGTAATGGTCATCAGCCCTCAAGTGGGTCCTTAATTCAGCCTAGCAATTATGCTACAGTTCCACAGAACTTCCACCCTCCTGCTCCCGGAAACCATTTCAAGCCTTCTTGCCTCAATCCACTGACATCCTTCCCAGTTGGTGGTCTTTCTATTTCACCGAGGAAACAGACGTCATCAGAAGAGAGCTTCTCCAGGCTCTACCATCACCTCTCCCACCTACCTGCATCTTCTCTTCTGTGCCACTGATTTTTCCCTCTTTACTAGCTTGTTAGCATACAAACATGCTACCAGGCTGTAATGCAGCCCATATTTTAAAAATACTTTTATCCTGTCCCCTTATATCTTGACAACTCCCCAATCCCACATTTATCTGTTCTCTTTTACAGCAAAACCCCTCAAAAGGCTTGTCAGTCAGCACTCGCTGTTTTTCGGTTCCTCTTTTCCCACTCTTGATTGAAAACACTCTGATCCGCCTTTGTCCCTCCGTGTTGGAAATTGCTCTTGGCTTCTTTAATCCAGATTCAGAATGGTGCCTGGCACATAACATCACTAAGTACTTGATGTAGGTTTGGCCCAGGCTGCCATAACAAAAAAGTATCGTGGACGGGGGAGGGGGGGGGCTTCAACATAAATGTCTCCCAGTTCTGGAGGCTGGAAGTTTGCAATCAAGATGTTGGCAGGGTTGATTCCTTCTGAAGTCTCTTCCTTTGGCTTATAGGTGGCATTTTCTCCTTGTGTCACCACATGGTCGTCACTCTGCTCCTGTCTGTGTCCTAATTTTTTCTTCTTATAAAGACTCCAGTCCCATTGAATTAAGGCGACCATAATGACCCCATTTACCTAAATTACCTCTTTAAAGGCCCTGTTTCCAAATACGGTCACATTCTGAGGTACTGGGATTTGGGATTTCAACATAGGAATTTGCGGGGGGTGGGCAATTTAGTCTATAACGTCTGATTTAATTGGTTGATCAGTGTGCACAAATGGAGTGAGTCTCCTATAGGGCGAGGTTCAATGATGGGTGTTCGTCTCAGCCAAGGACGAGGCGCAGGAGTGGGACTGTTCAGCAGTAACATGGGGGAAAGTGTTGGGATTAGTGGAGTTGAGACATGAGGAAAAGAGGATCTGGCCAAGACTTACAGAGGGGAGTGGGCAAGGAGTCAGAGGACTTGCAGGTAACTGAGAATTCTATCCCATGGGACAGGGTCAGGGGTGATGGAAATGTCACCCACGGGCACGACTGCCTACATACTTTGCGAGGCCCAGGGCAAAATGAAAATGAAGGATTCCTGATCAAAAACCATTAAGAATGTGAAGATGGTGACAGAAGAGCCCTTCTAAGCACGGGACACTGTCTGACCCCCACTGGCCACACACACACACACACACACACACACACACACACACACACACACACGAAGCCAGCTTTGCTGAGTGGGATCTGGAACAGAAGTGGAGACAAGTTAGCAGTTAGGTCAAGTCCAGAATGGAAGGTCTGTCCTCTTGCACTGTGCTTAAAAGTTTTACTGAGTTATGATCTCCCTTTTGCCACCTCTTGGAACTGTGTCCTCCCACAAACCTCAATGCAGTGTCTTACACTCAGAAACCAGGGGCAATTTAGATGTGCTTTGGCAAGCTCACTAATGCAAGGGGGAGGGAAGGGTGAATGTTGGATATGGTGGACGTGGAGAGAGGGAGCGCAAATTCGCTTAGATAGTGAGGGTCTGAGCTAGGCTAGTAGCCTTGGTGACGCTAAAGTCGTTGCAGTTAGGTCTGAAAAGGAAAGCCATTTGAAGGCACCAAACAGCCCAGTGCCTGGCCCCGCGTGGCAAAACCTGTGGCTAAGCCCTCTCCATCCTGGTGGAGGGGGTGCCATTTAGACCAAGATCTAAAATCACATGGCAGGAGGGCTGTAGCCTTCTCCTTCCAGTCCCCAGGATGGCCTGGAGCCACAGGGAGGGGAGTCAGAAAGCCCTCTGAGGAAGTCAAAGACTCTGGAGAAAACTGATGCCTCAAGACTCTGGAATCCCCACATGGAAGAAGCAGGGGCCAAGCTTCTGTTGGTGTTGGTGAAAAGTTGAACACGATGCAGCTGGCTGGGGGTCACAGCTGATGTGCATTTGCTCACATTGGAGCACCAGGCCAACACGCTGCGTGCTGATGTCCCTGACCCTCCAGCAACCTTGTGAGGCAGGCACTGTTAGCATCAGTCCCATTTGACAAATAGGGAGACTGAGATGCAGAGAGGTTAAGTCACATGCTGAAGACCACAGAGGCGGTATGTGGCACCACCGAGAGCAGCAGCAGGCAGTGTGCTCCAAAGACATCACTCTCCCTCCTCTCCACTCGCCATCCGCGGCGGCCCCCATGTTCATAGCCTCTGCAGACAGCACTGAGCATGGAATGGTCATCTTGGGAGGGGGTGGAGGATCCCACCAGACCTCACATCGCAGACGGACGTCACGTGCACCGTGTGGGAACAATGAATGCACATGCAGCAGGCCGACAGTAGGAGGAAAGGCATTCAGGACACAGAAGCTCAAGTGGGGGTGTGGCGAGGAGGGTGGAAGATACAGACCCTTGTGTGCATGCCGGAAGGGGTGCCTTTTCAACAGTTGTGTGCACAAGGGTCTGTGGTTGTTAAGATAAGGATGGGAACTTACTGGCGGGTTAGGAAACTCAGGTTAGTTCTGGAAGGCTCCAACCTGTTCCCCACCGACCATGAGCCAGCTCTCCCCCTCTGGATGTGGGCTTCCTTAAACATTCACAACCTTTCGAGCACTAAAGGAGCCCCGTTTTCCTTCCCAACTGATCTTGTTTTTCCTGTGGAATCCTGCCTCATGAGCCATAGGCCGAGGGAGGAGGGCCACAGAACATTTGTCCTGTGCAAGGAGGACTCCAGCAGCCTTGGAGGAGCAAGGAAGTCAGGGAAAAACCCTGAGAAAAGGGAAATGAGATGGAAGGGAAAGTGCCACGGTGGCAGGGGAGGAGAAGAGAAGGAAGAGAGAAGGGTAGGGACAGGGCAGGAGGGAGCTGGGCCTGGGGTCTGGGGGGAGGAAGCCCTGTTCGCCTTTTCTGGCCCCTTAGCAGGTGGGTATTCCTCTGCCTGGGCTGGGGGTGGGAGTTCCAGGGATGTCTTCTCAGGCTCGTTCCCATCAAAGGCACCATTTGGGGTAGGGGGAAGGGGGCCGCCAACCCCACTGATGGGCTGGGCTTGAGAGGTGCCGAGAACAAAAAAGAGCTCCGGAAACCCAGCGGAGACACCTGGCCCTTCCTGGGAGGGAGGCGTTCCCAGACTCAACACCTGAGCGCCCTCTGATCCCGCCCCTCTCTTAGCAGTCGACCTTGTCCGTGTGTCTTCCTGGATTAGCATCATGTCTCCGCTGCACGTCTTGTCCTGCCATGCTGAACCTCCCACGGTGTGGCCTCCGAAGGGGCCCCTGTCTAGCGCTCCTCGCACGCCCCTAAGATTCCCCCTCTCCCTTTTTTGCGACGTATGCATTCCCAAGCCCGTTTTCTGTTTCGTCTTCCTGCAGCCCGGCGAGGGAGGCACAATTCTTCCCATTTTTCAGATTGTACAGGAGAGAAGCCTGCCTTCTGGGGCAGGGTGGGGGGAGGCAAGTGAGGAGGTCAAGGTCACCCAGTCGTTGGCGGAACGCGGCCTCGACCCGGCCCTTCCCTGCGGGCCCGGCGGAGCCCTGGCAAGGCAGGCCCAGGCTGCCGGCCCGCGCTCCTCTGGCCTCAGCGGGCACCTGGGGCTGGGCCGGCCTGAACGGCAGGTGAGCCCGGGTTGGCGACGGGAGGGGGTTGGGCC